TGAGAAGAGAACTTTGAAGTCATCCTTATCATCGTTTGGGGTAAGTCTTCGCAGCCTAGTGCCTTCGATGATTCTATCCGCTATTTTTGGGTCTTGTTCAACAATAGTGTTGGTAGTTGATAGTGAAGGTTCGAACATGGCATTAAGCCATAACTGGAGTAACCAGAAAGGACCAGCTAGCAGGATGTTTTTGGAGGTGTGAGATTTCAAACTCGAAACAACTGACCTTAGACTTTCGTAAAGATCAACTAATAGCAGTTCGCTTAAACACACCCTCTGATTCTCATGCAAATCTCTAGCTAGAGGAATAAACCTACTGGCTACCTGTAGGGATCTGCTGCAAAAGACATACCTTGACAACCATAAGGTAAGGAAAGCAATGTGTTCCACATCTGACACACTGTCTCCTTCAGTGTGATAGTGGCTGATAAACTTTGAAAAGCTAGCTAGCTTGACTTCGAAGTCAATAATACTCGAATGCTCTTCATTGTCAGGAATATAGGTTTCTCCTATTGGTGATAACCCAGTAATGGCTGTTATGTCAAAAAAGGTGGGTGTAATCATTCCACCAGGGAGATGGAAAGTATTGTAAGTACTGTCCCAGAAATATAAGGACGCGAATAATAATGGGTGGCTATAAGTAAATCCTGGTTTCGATAGTTTAATCAAGTTGTAAATACCTAATTCTTCCCATTGCTGGGATTTCTTAGCTTCTACTTTAGTAAACCAGTTTGTGATAAGCTGTGTCGGAGGTGGGGCAAGATCGAAATGGTTTGAAGTTACTCTTTACATAATCTAGCACAAAAGGGTCCTTAGGGGGAATGATTGGATTTTCCACGGTGGTCGAATCAGAAGACTCTACTGTCTTAGGGGTATCCATTTTATTAAACAGAGGTTTAAAATTATAACAAACAGGGAAAATTTTTCTGGTGTCTTTTAAGATTTCAAAGACTGTAAGAGGGCCCATTAAAGCTAACCTCTTGCCAGCGGCGTTAGTAGGAATGAGTACCTGGGATGCATAGAGCATTTCCTTCTCTTTTGAGATCATCTAAGGAATAAGAACAAATTGACCTTGGTAGGTGCCAACCTTGCTTTCCATTATGGTTCCTGTGTTCTTTCCTTTCTTTTTGGAAGCCTTTTTCAGTTGAGATGAAGTTGAAGAAGACATTGTTGGAAGAATGTTGGAAGTTTAGGGTTTCGGTGAGAAAAGAGGAAGAAAAGATTCAGAATGTGGGAAGAAAAGAAAAGACTAAGTTGATGGGTTTTTATAGTGTGGAAGTTTAAACATCCACTGAGTAAGATTGTGATACGTGGTAGTCGTGGGTTGGTTTGAGAAGGAGGTGGCGTAAAGTTAATATTGGTAATAGGCGTGATTAAAGATAATCATTGTTTTGTAACTGCACCATGCTGTGAAATGGTTCAAGGCGGTTAAGGAATCTGAAAAGCGTTGTGATTGATGTGACTGGAGTCATATGCAATAAATGTTACGATGATTCGAAGGTCGCATCAAAATCTTGTGTATATGTTTAAAATAAGTATTTCTCAAAGGAATCGAAATACATATTTTAAAGGGGTATTTTGTTGGCTGAAGATTTTGATGATATTATTAGAAGCAAAGCAAATTGGACGTTTCGATTGGAATAAAGCAAGATGTCATGTTTCGAAATGGTAGAAGCAGTGCTTCGAATGGGCATATCAAAGCTTGGAGCTTCGAGTGACAGTTATGAGAATATATTCAAAGAAGTCTCAGAATGATAACAAAGCTGTGTCCAAGAAATGCGTTCGAAGCAAAGAAGTGCCAAAACATTTGAAATTCAAATGCAAGCGGGATGTTCGAAATTTAAAATATATGCGCTGGAGCATTCGAAGACGCGTGGAAGCTAGAGAGAGGCATTGCTCTGCATGTTCTGAACGTGGCAGAATCTTATGGCAAGACCGTTATGGTCGAAGTAGTATAAATAGAAGTCTTAACATTAGGATTTCGTGTGTCATATCTATTGTACAAAAAACTCAGTAAACATTCAAAATACCACATGGCTAGGGAAACGAATGCACGGGCAATGTACGTATGATAACACCAAGTGTTTATGATTTAATGAAACTCTTTATCATTTCCAGTATTTTCCTCTATCTTCATGTCAATACCATTCAAAAGCTTTTGCACTAAAATGTTTTCATTCGAAGTCTTTTTACTGATTCCTTACATTTAAATGCTTTCTTTCCATTTCAAATACTTTACATTTCAGAAACTCTTGCACATTTCATGCCTTGATCTTCAAGCTTTTATCATTCGAACACTTTTTTCACTTAAAGTCATTTTACTGTTTTCTTGCATTTAAACGCTTTCTTCATATTTCGAATCTTTTACATTCCAGAGAATCTTTTACATTACATGTTTTTATGCTTCGAAGTCATTCACTTGTCTTTTATGCAGTTTTACATGTCTTTACAATTGAACTTTATTCATGCAATTTAGTTTCGTGCACATTTACTTGATCACGCCTTTAGATCTTTAATAGAGTAATCGAAGTAAGTTAAACGCCTACATAACATTCTAAATACCAACCATGAATACCAGTTCTATAATGAGAGTTATCCAAATGACCAATACATCCTAGGATCAATCTAGTCGATCTTGCGAGTTACCAGAGAGATTGAATAACAGTCATTAAGATTATTCGATAGTTTGGAGGACTAGCGGTTGTTTACCAGAAATCACTGTAAACAGGTATGTAATAGATAATTAGGACCATTTATTCATTTACCGCTTTATTTTATTTTCAAAGGGTTGCTTTTGGCGATGTAAATACCCGACGCCTTGTAATTTAATTTCCGCATTTTAATTCCGTAAATTATAACTGCTAGATGTCTGATAATAGGGCTTGCATGACAAGAATGAATGCTTAAACTAAAATTAAATTAGATCACCCTCAACATGTGCAAAGATAAAAATAACTGAAAATGACACACTCGCACATGCGCACTCTTAAGGTACACCCCACTTGGTTGCCTTCATACACGGTCATTGAGTATAGATCGTTTTAGAGGTCATCCTCTTGTCTAAAAGATCATAGTCGCCTCGAAATGGTTGCCTCAGATATTGTTGCCTCAAACAAATGATCTAAGACATTAGGGTTACTACTAAGGCGTTCTAACATTGCTTTAGTGACCGTATGTTCCTCATTCGAATTGACCATCAAACTCCAACGACTGTGCTACCTACTCACTCATAGTGGGATAATATTGTCTAAAGGAAATTACCATAGAACGATTCCTTTTTCGAGTAGGTAGATAGTTCTTAGATACTTGCTCTTTCAAAAAAACAAAACTTTTTCACACTTACACTCCTTTTCAAACAAAGTTTTCAAAACACTTCATTACACTCTTGAGGACAGAAGCAAGAGTTAAATCGAAGTTTCAAACAAAAACTTTTTCAAACCCACAAGCACAAAGAAAACAATTTTGAAAACAATTGAGCAAGTACCTAAGAGCCCGTGGATAACCACGGATAGAAATGATGCTAATACCTTCCCTTTCTATAATCTACCCCCCGTACTCAGAGATAATCTCGAAAAAGGAATTTTTCTGTGTTTTTTTTTCCTTTCCTTGTTGGATAAAATAAAAGACGGTGACGACTCTTGCTTACCGCGACATTTTGCGAACAAAAAACGCAAAACACAAACCAGCATTCCAAAAACAGTCAGTTCTTCCCACCGTATCATAGATTTGCTGTGCCGAAAAACATGATCAAATTTTCTTTAACATATTTATACTTTTTCATAAGTTGTCTAATCACCAATTCAGAGTCTCCTTTTATTTCAACTCGACTTGCCCCCAGTTCCAACAACATCTCAAGTTCTGCTATTAGAGCTTTATAGTCAGCCTCATTATTTGAACAAGGGTCATCAATCTTATACTTGAACTTCGTTGGGATGTTATTTGGTGAAATAATTAACAATCATACACCAGTTCCATTTCTATGGCTAGAACCATCGAAGAATAACTTCCAAGTTTTGAGTTCTAGGTAACTCAGGGGCATTTCAACTAGAGCATGGTCGACTATAAAATCAACGACCACTTGCCCTTTCATAGCTTTCAAAGGCATAAAAGTCAGTGGATATTCTAATAAGGCAAGGGCCCATTTTCCAATTCGACTATGAAGAATTGTCTTGGACAACGTGTGCTTAATCACGTCAAAATTAGACGAAACAAAAGCATCCACTGGGTTTATATGGCTGGCCTATTCGTCTAGAGATTTGTGCCGCTTTGTTGCTGTCCGCGAGAGACTCCTCTTTTGTTGAAGGTATACTGACTTATGACATCCCTCCAATTTCTCTTATGATGGGCTATTCGAACTCTTTCCACATTCTCAACAGCTTTTCTATCGAACACGAAACTGCACATGGGGTACAACATCACTTCAAACATCTTTTTCTAACAACGATGAGGGAATTCTACCAGATTCTCATCCACGTTGGAATAATCAACCCTCATCTGGTCTTCAGTTCGCTGAGTGCTTTCTTCGTCTGCTTCTATGTCAGACTCTTTACTTATTTCGACCATGCTAACTTCCAGATTAAGACCATTAGTAATTTCAACCTTTTATAACTTCATACCAAGGTCCTTAGTAATTTTCTCTTTTTTATATTTATTTTTAGGTGTAACTATTATTATTATTATTGTTATTATTATTTTTATTATTATTATTAAGTCTAATGTAAAATTATTTTAAACAAAATTTCTAGCATATATAAAAATATCAAGATTTATCATATGATTATAAATAAAATTAATATAATTTTTAATAATTAAATATATCATATTAAAATTTATTTAAACATATAATTAATTACTAGATATATTATTATTATAATTTTATATTAATATAAGTGATTTTCGGTGCATCGGGTAAAAATACTAGTTTTCTCAATTATAATTATAAATTCATTGAATAAAATCATTAAGTTTTACTAGTTTTCTTAATTATAATTATAAATTCATCGAATGAAATCATTAAGTTTCGTGTACCGCACGGAACAAGAACTAGTATACAGTATAGGCGTACTAGTAATACTATTAAGTGCATTCTACACGTTTTTTTGTTATTTTTTTGGGAAATATATTTGATTGATAGAAAAAGGAAACTTTCTCTCTTAGTACAACAAATTTGGGTTATACCTCTGCTCTGTGTTGCTGCTCAACCCTTCTCTCTTTCAATCTTTTCTTTTCGCTGTTTCCGGTAATTCTTGCAAAGGATGTTCTTGTTTCCGGCGTTGATTTCTGTTGTTGTTACTGTTGTTGTGAATTTTAGGTTTATTTCTTTTTTGTAATTTGGATTCATTGAGTTGGTTCTGCAATCTCGTTGTGCTCTGGTTTATCTAGTTTGTAATTCGCTTTTGTTTCAATTTTAGGGTTTTGATTTTATGACTTGTTTTATGAAATTCTCAATAGAATGGATAGCTTAGATTACTTGTTATTTGATTTCTAGTTTCTAGTTTCTACAAGTGATTGCTATATTGTGGGAGTGTTACTGAAATATTTCTTGATCAGGGAATGGCTGAGGTGTTGAGTGAGGAGTCTGGAGTGAGTAAGCTTCTGGAGGGGGTTTCGCGTGGCCAGACTTCTACCGGGGAAGCATTGGCGGCATCTACTTCTCCCCCTTATTGGGACGCAGACGACGAAGATCATGGTGGTCGGTTCATTTTCCTTTATTTAATTCTACTTGAATCAGATGTTTCCTTGTGTGGCAATATTTGACACCGTTCACAGCCATAGATGCATGTTTAAATGTAGCTTTTTAAATTCTCTTCTCTAAATTATTGCTGTAAAATGTTTTCAAAATAAACCTTGTCTCAATTAGGTCTTTTGAGGGAGGGTTGTAGTATGGTCTGATTCACTTTTTTTGAAACAAAAGGATATAAAGCTCAAAATTAATTTTAACCCACTCCATTCTCCTTGATGATCTCCGGTCCTACGTTCAGTTAATTCGACACACGTATTCAATTTCCTAGAGAATTTTTACAGTGTAGAGGTGAAGATAATGTCTCAAGAACTTATGAGATTTCCTTGAGGTGGCAGTCACCTTTTTTTGTGTTTGCTTTTATTATATTCTCTTCTAAATGATTGCTTTTTCAATTTAGCTTGTGCTGATTCTTGATCCTTTCATGATGGGTCATGGTTGATTGTAAATTTGTTTCCCTTAAAAATGCTAAAATTCTTACTTCTTCTCCTTGTAGGACCAAAACCTTCCGAGTTATATGGGAAATATACATGGAAGATAGAAAAGTTTTCCCAGATTACCAAAAGGGAACTTCACAGTAATGCATTTGAGGTTGGAGGCTACAAATGGTATGAGGGTCTAGATAAACTTATGGAAATCTGTTGCTTCACTTTCATAGTTTCATTGACAGTCTTACTCTTTTAGAACAATTTTTACGCACGAATGTTTTGTGGTCCTATAACATTAATTCTATCAAAACATCATAACCTAATCATTCTCTGGTTATTGGCAGGTATATTTTAATGCATCCACAAGGTTGTAATGTGCGCAATCATCTCTCGCTGTTTCTGTGTGTAGCTAATCATGACAAACTTCTTCCAGGTAAAATCAATAATTTGTTTCTCGGTTTACATTAATAATTAATTGTTAGTTAACTTTTACGTACTAAAGCTTGTTCCATAGTATTTGACTTATTTTCCTGTTTTCTCATTGGGGTGATACAGGATGGAGTCATTTTGCACAATTTACAATATCTGTGGTCAATAAAGACCCAAAGAAGTCAAAATATTCTGGTTTGTTAGCTAATAATTGGCTTTATTAATGGAGATGACAATTTTTTTCTATCACCATTACTCATTAGTTGTTCCTGAGTTTTTCAGATACATTGCACCGATTTTGGAAGGAGGAGCATGACTGGGGATGGAAAAAGTTTATGGAGGTGTCAAAGGTGTATGACGGATTTGTTGACACTTCTGACAGTTTTATAGTAAAAGCTCAAGTTCAAGTCATCAGGTATTCCATTCTTAAATTCATGTTATTTAAGACCCCCAGAGATTGACATTCACATGCCAATCTTGTTTGCACTTTAACTCGGAGCATTTAATTCAGACGCGTGACATTGTATTTTTTATTGGTTATTGATGCAGGGAGAAATCAGACCAGCCTTTCCGTTGCCTTGATTCTCATTATAGGAGGGAACTTGTTAGGGTATATTTGAGAAATGTAGAACAAATTTGTCGGCGTTTTGTGGAGGAAAGACGGAGCAAGCTAGGGAAGTTGATTGAGGATAAAGCTAGGTGGTCGAGGTACTTTGTGCTCTCCTTTAAAACTGTCTTGCTTCTGACATACTATGCCTAATCTTTTTTGTCACATGATGTATGCTGTAAATGTTATCTTGCACGAAAGCGTCGCCTAATAAAAGCAAGGATCCTTACATTTTTCTTTGACACCCCCCTATTAATAATAGCACTCAGTACATCTACATGAAAACATGAAAAGTCTATTTCTGGGTTGACTCATTTCCTTTTCAATCCAGAAAGGTGATAAAGTTTGGACAATTGGGAAGAAAAGTTACAGAAGACTTATTTCCTTTTCAATCCAGAAAGGTGAAAAAGTTTGGACAATTGGGAAGAAAAGTTACAGAAGTGGTTGAGTTCCTTTGTTAAATAAATCAAACCGTTGACCATGGTTTGATGTGTTATAACAACCGCCTGTTTTTGCCCAGTTTTGTGCATATGTATTCTGAAATTACCCCTTTTAGAAATAAAATCTGATTTTATATTATTACCATTTCAAATTTATTGCAATGACACTGTTTCCCAGTTTAAATAATGAATGCGTGAGTATCCATTGCTACTTGTGTCAGGCTCATTGTTACATAATCTGCTGGCCTCCCTAAAGAACCGCAAATTGCTACGAGTTCCGGTTTGCGGTACTTTTGCGAACCAGTTAATGAAAATTCTCGAAGAATTCGGAATTAAAGTGTGAGTAACATAAAGCCATTAATATCCTCACTTAATAATGGCTAGTTACGCATTCACACTTAAACTTATGCATTTATTGTATGATATGAATATATCTGTCATGTATATATTATTTTAATGAGTTAAACTTGTATTACTCAATTTATCATAAACAAACACGTTTGCTTTTAACTCTTGATTTTGACAACCTTGGTTGTGGTTCTGATTTTATAAGTTGATTAAACAGTAATTTTCAATATGCAGTTTCTTTGCTTTCTGGAGGGACATTGACCAAACATCTAGGTGCCGGATGTCCAGGGAGAAGACAGATGTAATTTTAAAGGTTGTAGTGAAACACTTTTTTATTGAGAAAGAAGTTGTTTCTACTTTGGTAGTGGATTCCTTGTACAGTGGATTGAAGACTCTTGAGGGCCAGACTAGCAAAAAAGGTTTGGTAAACTTGTTGGATTCAGCAGAAATAACAGCACCTATTGTCCGTGTTGAAAAAGACATGTTTGTACTGGTGGAGGATGTTTTACCGCTTCTTGAAAGGGCTGCTATAGAACATTTCCCTCCAAAAGATGAAAAGGGTCCTCAAAATCGTACAAAGGTAAGATGTAGAGTAATGTTTGTTAAAGTAACTAAGGATTTATATGTTGACCCCTAATAGATGGTGATATAGATCAGCATTGACACAATTGACATGTTATGATATTAATGGAACTTTGGCAAGGGTTTTTCAGAGGACTGAGTTTTGAATAAAAGAGTAGATCAAAGTCATGCCAATATGTTGAAATCTGTAAACAAGTTATACTGAAAACTTGGATACTGTATTCTGAATTGGCATATATTAGACATTTGGAATGGTATCTTTAGTAGCCCGGTTTATTATTATAAGTACCAAAAGGGCTATATGGGATATATGACACCTTTTGGCTTTATAGTTTTGGAATTCTTTTGATTGCCAAGAAAGAATCTGTTTCCCGTGTTTTTACAGGATGGAAACTCTGGGGAGGATTACAATAAAGATTCTATTGAGCGTGCTGAAAGGCGTCTCATAGAATTAGGGCGCAGGACTTTGGAAATATTTGTCCTTGCTTATATATTCAGGTAACATAAACAATACTTTTGTAATTAGTTTTATTCTGTTTGTCAGCTTAATGGCATGCTTATACACTACCGAATTTTATCTGTATGGGTACTGTGTATTTGCTAATATAGTGGGGAAGTAGACTCCACTAATTTAATTAGTAATCCGTAAGAAATGGTTAATGCATGAATACAATTAGTTTGAAATCCTAATTCCTAATGTCATGTGTACAGCAACAAAATTGAGGTTGCTTATCAGGAAGCTGTTGCTCTAAAGAGACAAGAAGAACTCATTCGCGAAGAAGAGGCATCGTGACAAGCTGAAAATGATCAGAAAACAAAACATGGAGTCAATGAGAGGGAAGAGAAGTCAAAGAAAAAACAGGTTGTTACAGATTGAAGTTGCATTGTTAAGGAAACCTTAAATATCTAAATATATTGATTTCACATATGCTAGTTTGTCATCTTGTTCTTTTGTTAACAATACTTTTGAACTTTGCCAGACTGAAATTCAATTGTCTGGCATTGTTAATATTATGATTTTGTTTCCAACTTATTTCTATAAATTTTTCAGGACAACTCATACTTTTGTAATAAAAATAGTATACAAAAGCACTTTTATAATAAAAGCTTAGTTAAGTTGTTTACTGATGGTTATCATATATTTCAGAATAATGAAGAACCTTCAAAATATTTTAACTAACCTCATCTTTAACTGCATCTTCTTCTCCATTATTTCTCCAAATCCCAACACACTGAAAACAAACATAAAAACAAAAAATCTTCAAATCTCAGATCTCACAACTAATGATCAGTATTACTAGTTTTTCTGTTAATTAACCTTACCTTCATAATACCATAGTCATTACTTGAAGAACCAATTGATTTAAAACCAAAAGCTTTTCCTTGATCATTGAAGCTGGTTGTGCCACCAAGTGTTTGATAATTGTTCCCAATCAAAAATGTTTTGTTTTATGAAAAAATATTTAAAATTTAAGTGATTTTTTAAAATTTTAATATCTAATTTTTTTTAATAAAATGTTGAAATACCTAAATTAACATTTTAAATAATTAGTTAAATCAATTTTTTATTTAAAGTTAAAAAGAAAATTCTGTCGTTTTAAAAAAATAATATATGATATTATAAAAATACATGGATGAAAGAGGGAAGACAAATGTTAGGGGGGTGTTTGTTTCAAGGATTCATAAAAGATTCTCAGAAAAAAGTTATCGGAGAATAAAAATATGAAGATTTAATTTCAAGGTATTTTTTAAAAATTGTGTTTGGCATATAATTTGAAGTTTCTTGGAAAATGAGTAGTTATATATATGTTTTTTTAAAATTATGTAAAGTTTCATGGGAATAAATATTCTTACCTTCTTCTCATGGGAATAAAACTATGAGAATTATGGAAGTTATTTCATGACAAGAAACTTTTATTCTTGGGAATAATTTTTTTTCAACTTTCTATCAAACATAGAAATAATTATTTTTCAGTCATGTATTTTCGGAAATATTATTTTTAGACTTGAAACAAACACCCCCTAAGACTAATACTAGTACTTACTAACAATTTATAAATCTTTATTTTGATACTTTTAATCTGAGTAATTGCTGTAATAAATGTTGTATAGTGGTGGATAATGATTTTTATGTGAGTTAGGTATTTTGGAGTAGAAATCAGAATTTTGGAAGGTGCTTCAATGGTCAAATTGCGAATTCTGATTTTCTGCACAGTGGTGACGATCGCTACCTTCGTAACGAGCCAATTGTCATTGCGTCGGTTAAATTGACGGGCATCAACATGGTGAGGAGGCAACCGTTATGGTCTTCGGAGCAGACGACCTTGTCGGATGTTGTCTGGATGACGAGCTTGTGAGGAATAGGGATGACGGGTGTGTGTGACTATCGTCATGCCTTAAGGGTTGACCGTCAGCCTCACGTTGATTGTTTCTGGGTCATCGATTTAACTTTTTGAGTTATTTTCAAGTGTGGTGAGTGTTTGCTGTTGTTTAGTGAGTTTGGTGAGTCGAATTGATATGTTAGTTATATGAATAAATGAGTAATACCATAGTCATTACTTGAAGAACCAATTGATTTAAAATCAAAAGCTTTTCCTTGATCATTGAAGCCGAATTGATATTTTAAATAATTAGTTAAATCAATTTTTTATTTAAAGTTTAAAAAAATTCTGTCATTTAAAAAAAATATATAATATTATAAAAATCATTTTATATAAACGGACTCTCGAAGAAAGAGGAATAAAAGAAAGTTATAGAGTTAAATTGTTAAGATCTTGAGGGAGAAATACATGGATGAAAGACTAAGGCAAATATTAGGCTAATACTAGTATTTACTAACAATTTATAAATCTTTATTTTGATACTTTTAATCTCAGTAATTACTGTAATAAATGTTGTATAGTGGTGGGTAATGATTTCTATGTGAGTTAGGTATTCTAGGGTAGAAATCAGAGTTTCAGAAGGTGCTTCAATAGTGAAATCGCAGATTTTAGTTTTCTGCACAATGGTGACAATTGCTACCTTTGTGACGAGTCAATTGTCATTGCATCAGTTAAATTGACATGTATTAACATGGTGAGGAGGCGATCATTATGGTCTCCGGAGCAGACGACCTTGTTAGACGTTGCCTGGATGACGGGCTTGTGAGAGATAGGAATGACGGGTGGGTGTGATTGTTGTCATGCCTTAAAGGTTAACCGTCAACCCTGCGTTGATCGTTTTTGGGTCGTTGATTTGACTTTTCGAGTTATTTTCAAGTGTGGTGAGTGTTTGCTGTTGTTTGGTGAGCCGAGTTGATATGTTAGAGTTATATGAATAAATGAGTAATGTTTGCATATATATATATATATATATATATATATATATATATATATATATATATATATATATATATATATATATATATATATATATATATATATATATATATATATATATATATATATATATATATATATATATATATATATATATATATATATATATATATATATATATATATATATTATGGTACTCCCATGAGATATAGTGGTGTTGTTGTCAAAGTGTTCGATGGTTCTAAGAGAATAATTATTGGTGAAGTTGATCTTTTAATATAGATTGGTCTTCATGTTTTCCAGGTCAATTTTAAAGTGATGGATATCCATCCTACATACATTTGTCTTTTGTGAAGGTCATGGATTCATGATGCTGGGACAATAACGTCTACTCTTCATCAAAGACTGGAGTTTGTGAAGAATGAAAAGTTGATTATCGTGTATGGTGAATAAGCCTTGTTGGTTAGTAATCTATCCTCTTTCAGGTAAATAGATGTTGATGCAGAAGCTGTTGGAACACAGTTCCAAGATCTCGATATTATTAATGATGTTTAGAAAAGTGGTGCATATATTTCTTCGTTGGAGGATGCTCAACAGGTTGTGCAGAGTGGTCAAGCTGACGGTTGGGGACAAATTGTCATGTTTCCTGAGAACAAGAATAGAGTTTGTCTAAGGTTCTGACCTTATTCGTCTGGAAGATCGTTCAAGCCTGAAGCTGATGTCAAAATAATTTAGTAAGTTTTTCATAGTGATGGCTTCATTCATCCTAGAGATTCAAGTATTGTTGCCACTGTTTAAGATTCAGATTCGGATGGACCTAGCTTTGTGTCCCATGGAGAGACTAACGCTCAGAATTGGATAGTCGTCGATATTTCTAGTGTTATTCTATGTTTTTGTCTTTTTCAAATAATTTCTTTCACTCTGTCTAAGGTGAAAGTGACTTTGTCAGGGATTTGTTTCAAATTTTAAGATTAATAATAAAAGATTTCTTTGTTATCCAATTGTGTTTTTTTTTTACTTTTTTCATTTTTCTTGGAAAATGGTAACTAAAAAACCTAATAAAAACAATTTCATTATTGCATGTCACTTTCGCATATATCTATTTTCTAAAACAAATCATAAATCATATGTGCAGATTGACAAATCTTAAACCCATTGAAAACAATGACCATGTGCCCTTTTCCAACTTTAAATTCCATGTATTTAAAGTGAAAGAAGAGAGTGAGGAAGATGGTGATATTCCAGCAGAAATTTCTCGGTTGCTTGAGCACGGGGAGAAAACTATTCAACTATACAGAGAGCATGTCGAACTGATCAACTTGGGTTTTAAAGAGAACAAAAAAGAGGTCAAGATTGGGGAATTGCTTGGTGATGATGTCAAGAAAAGGTTGATAGAGCTTTTGAAAGAGTATGTTGACGTGTTTTCTTGGTCTTATCAAGATATGCTAGGATTGGGTACTGATATTGTTGAGCATTATTTTCCGCTTAAGCCAGAACGTCTGCCAGTAAAGGAAAAGTTGAGAAGAACTCATCCTAATATGACTGTCAAGATCAGAAAGGAAGTACATAAGCAGATTTATGCCGATTTCCTTATGACATCCCTTTATCCTCAATGGGTGGCCAATATTGTGCTAGTTCCAAAGAAAGATGGAAAAGTAAGAATGTGTGTTGATTATAGATATTTGAATAAATCTAGTCCGATAGATGATTTTATTTTGCCACATATTGATATGTTGGTTGATAATACATCGAAATTTAATGTTTTCTCCTTTATAGATGGTTTCTATGGTTATAATTAGATTAAGATGACGTATGAGGCCATGGACAAAACAACGTTTATCGCTCCCTGGGAAATATTCTGTTACAGAGTGATGTCTTTTAGCCTAAAGAAAATTGATGATATGTACCAAAGGGTTATGACTACCCTATTCCATGATACGATACATAAAGAAATCGAGGTTTATGTTGATGATATGATTTACAGGTCTAAGACTGAAGAGGATCGTGTTCAGTACTTGTTGAATTTGTTTAAGCATTTGAGAAAGTATAGACTCTGCTTGAATCCGAACAAATGCTCTTTTGGTGTATGTTCTGGGAAAGTTTTGGGTTTCATTGTCATCCAAAAAGGTATTGAAGTGGATCTAGATAAAGTCACAGCTATTCGTGATATGCATGTGACTCAAACAAAGAAGCAAGTCAGAGGATTTCGAAGACATTTGAATAATATATCCAGTTCATCTTTCACATGATTGCCACTTGAGAGTCAATCTTCAAGTTACTTCGTAAAGATAAAAGTATTGTGTGGAGTGAAGATTATAAGAAAGATTTTGATAGTATCAAAGATTACTTGCTTAAGCCTCCTATTTTGATCCTTCTATGGAAGAGAAACCTTTGATTATGTACTTAAGAGTCTTATAAAGATCGATGGGTTGTATCCTCGGTCAATAAGATGAGATAGGTAGAAAAGAACATGATA